CTGCCGGGCCCCGGAAAATCTGCCATGGGCCCCCGTACCCCCTCCTCATCTGTGCCACGTCGGGGTTTTCTCATGGGCCCCGGGTAGGGCCCTTTCCCATTGTGCTGCCCCTCCATCGCCACACTCTGCCATGTGCCACTTTCAGGTTCCTACACTGCTGGTGTGTTCCATTTGTTCATAGGGTGCTGGCAGATTACGGGCCTTTCCATCTGCTGCTCGCCAGGGCCCGTAATCTGCCATGGGCCCCCGTACCGATCTCCTCATTGCTGGTGACGTATGCAACAAGGTGGGAATTCAAAAACCTACATATGTTAGGGACAGCCTTTACGGAACAGCGAAAAGGACATCACCGATTTCATGATGTTACAAGCCGGATAAAGGTACTTCCCCTGTGTAACTTAGATTCAGTCTCAACGCCACATGACCCCTGTGGAGGCAGGACAGGAAGAAGAGGAGGAGGTAGAGGAGGACATTGGTGCTCAGGAATTATTGAGTGAAATGGGTGGTTTTTCCACTCAGCGCGGACAGGAGTGGGGGAGCAGGAGCATCTGGTAGAGGAGGAGGAGGAGGAGACAGAGGACCCAGACGCACCGTGGCAGTATGCTGTGGAGATGGAGGCAGGGAGTCCTCGCATTCCTTGGCACAAATGGCCCATAGCATGCTCGGTTGCTTGCGTAGCGACAGCCGAATAATAACCATCAGACAGAGGGATGACTTTTGGCTGTCCACCTTGTTGGACCCTCGCTACCGTTCAAAAATGGTGGCCTTTTTCACACCTGCTGAGAGGGAGGCCAAAATAAAGTACTATAAAAACCACCTATGTAGTCAGTTGGTCTCTGCCTTTCTGCGCCAACGTCCATCCTCAGACACTGTGGGCCCTGTGCGCTCGCGTTCCCTGCCATGGCAGCAGGGGAGGGGTGGGGTGGTAGGAGCAGTGGCAGCTCCACCAGCAGCGGCTGCCTCAGTCTGCAGTCGATGATGAGTAGCTTTCTTCACCAGCGCAGTGAGGAAACTACTAACCAGCCGCAGAAGCAGCAGCATCAGGTGGACCTGGAGCAGGACCTCAAACAACAGGCTTGGGCCTACTTGGACAGCACCCTGCCAACCGAGGTAGACAATCCCCTTGACTACTGGCAACGAAACTTGACCTTTGGCCCCAACTAGCTGAATTTGCCCTTGAAAGGCTGTCATGCCCGGCCAGTAGCGTGGCATCGGAGCGCGTGTTTAGTGCGGCAGGAGGTATTGTAACTCCGCGGAGGACACGACTGTCCACCCAAAGTGTGGAGAGACTCACGTTTGTGAAAATGAATCAGGCGTGGATTAGTCTGGATTTCAAACCACCAGTTCCTGACACAACTGACTAAATCCGCCATGAATCATGCCCCAAACATGTGCCACTTTCAGGTCTCCTCACACTGCTGGTGGGTTCCATTTTGTCATAGGGTGCTGGCAGATTACGGGCCTCCCATTGCTGCTGCCAGGCCCGTAATCTGCCATGGGCCCCTGTACCACCTCCTCATGCTACTGCCAGGTCCAGAGTGTGTCATGGGTCCCTGTACGGCCTCCCATTGCTGCTGTCTCCATCGCCACACTCTGCCATGTGCCACTTTCAGGTCTCCTCACACTGCTGGTGGGTTCCATTTTGTCATAGGGTGCTGTATGGCCTCCCCTTGCTGCTGCCAGGCCCGTAATCTGCCATGGGCCCCCGTACCGACTCCTCATGCTGCTGCCAGGCCCCGTAATCTGTCATGGGCCCCTGTACCGCCTCCTCATGCTGCTGCCAGGTCCAGAGTGTGTCATGGGTCCCTGTACGGCCTCCCATTGCTGCTGTCTCCATCGCCACACTCTGCCATGTGCCACTTTCAGGTCTCCTCACACTGCTGGTGGGTTCCATTTTTGTCATAGGGTGCTGTATGGCCTCCCATTGCTGCTGCCTCCACCGCCACACTGTGGCTCCACACTCTGGTTTTGGCCCCGTGACTGCCCAAATGAGTGAAGTGTGCGGTGATTCTAAGATCGACGGCACTCATCTGCATGTCATACTGACTGACAGTATTATTTTCTCTTCCCCAGCAGACTCCAAGGGCATTTAAATTAAAGGTACAGTGTTCTGCACTAATATAAAGGCTCTCTGAAGCCTAGAAACACCCTTTTATAAGAAATATAACTTTGCTTTTTTAAATTCTGTTATTGCTTCTTCTATTGCTACTTAAAGTGTTAAACCATTTGACAGTCAAACTACTCTTACTGTAAAAAAAAAACTCTTCTTAAGTCGGCAATAGACAGTTCGAAATTGGAACCATGTATGGGCAGTCTGAATTTACCCAAATTGATCGATCAACTTGGGTACAACTAGCCTTCTGGATATTACATGCAACTATTGCTAGAGGTTGTTGTTAACCAACTTTTCCAAGTTCTTCATCAGCACTGCTCCAACTAACTGTATTCTATTTAAAGCCCAACTCCAGGCTTTTCCTTCCCCCACCCACATGGCCCTCCCTGCCCCTGTTCTCTTGCTGTATTTTATGCTTCATACCAGGGGCGGACTGACAACTCATGGGGCCCCCGGGCAATAGGGGATCATGGGGCCCCTGTGTCCTTGCCCAGACTCAAAAAAACTTATGAAAGCTTATGAAAAAGGTACCGGAGGCATCTCATGGGGCCCCCTACTGAACCCGGGCCCTCGGGCAGTGCCCGAGTTTCCAAATGGTCAGTCCGCCCCTGCTTCATACTTACTTTTATCAGTTATCTTCAGGCTGTTTATATGATGTGCACGGTTCTTTTCCTCTTTAGGTCTTCTCAGTGATGGGCTGTCCTCAATTACATCAGCATCTTTTTCTGAGTTCAAGGTGCCATGGGTGGCAAGTCCATGACTCCCTGCATTCACAGAATATCCTCAGCCATTCAGCCCAGAAGACTATGGACACCTAGAGGCAGAAAGGGGATGCAATGGTTCACTGCAATGGTATTGTAGCTAGTGCTGTTTATTTTATATTTGAAATCCTTCTGAAGCATACAGTATTATAAAACAAAAATTGCAGACAGTTGGGCTATAATGTATTGAAGTCAACTATATGCCCACAGGCACAAAACCTCAACATTTTCAACCTCAATTTAATTTGTTGTTTAATAGTATATGCCATTATGTCACCAATCTTATGTCACTGTCCTTCTGAGTTTTAAAGATTCTTCATATTTGTGTGCCATCAGCAGAAATGGCAGCACTGCTATCTATTTTATTCACTAAATTATTAATAAAGAGAATTAAAATAATTTGTCCCGACACTCACCCCTCTGGTACATAATGCTAAGTTAGCCCATTTACAAAGTTCCCTTTGACTTTTTTCCAACCAGTTCTTTACACATGTACAAACTTTCTTATTTAATCATTGCATCATTTATCACTATGAATTACAATATCCAATGCAACATGTTATGTTACATCAATAGCATTTCCACTAATCAAATTTGCATTTACCGTCTCAGAAAACTGACCATGTTAGACATGGCTGTCAAATCTGACATGTGACCTATTAGTGAATAGGTAGGCGCTGTGTATAAAATAAAAAAGAGTTCACCCAAGTGAACCCAATATAATTGCTGGATATTGGTTATCTGTGGGTGAACAGCCCATTGATAAACTCTTCATCAAACATTATAATCAATAACCATATGATCCTATTGCCATAAAAAGTCCTTGTGCTTCCAGCATGTGCTAAATAAACATAAAGTGTAATAGTCCTTTTTTAAAAGCTTAATAATGGTGACGAGAAGATCCATGTATCCACACCTCGGTGAAAGAACAAACAAATGACTCACTCACCAGACCTATATAACCCCATTCCGGTGGTCATATATCGCATTGTGTTTTATAAGCCAAGATATTTTCTTAAGGTTCCTCTAAACATGGTCTCCATCACCCACACTTCATAGTTGTATAGCCAGGAAGACTGATGTGAAATTGCCAATATATTCACCAAAGGATGTATAAAGGGATTATGACATGTAATCCTTGCTGATTATGCCATACCACTCAAAGGAATAAGAGAAATTAAACCATTCTAAGTGTAGTATTTAATGAGGCAATGACATAATTATAAACAAACTCTGTACACTCACATATTAAAGTGCATATGAAGCCGGCACCAGCATGTATTGCCTGTATTCTCAATTGAAATGGCCGATGTGCGCTCCAAGCCTCGCTTCTGTTCCGGCTGGATGTGACATCTCCGGAGCCTGGATATGACAGAATCACGTATGTTTGATGTATGTTTCACCTGGTGCTGTTATCAGGAAATCTGACATGCGTCCGTGTCGACATGTGTCTGTATCCACCTCTGTAGGCTGCCTGCATGTAGCTCAGAACAGATGCAGACGTCAAAAAATGGCAGCCTGAACACAGCACAGGTGCCAGCACTCATCTGAAAGAGGCCTAAAATATGTACATACTTATTGTTCTATCATGACCCAGTTTAAAGCAGGACAGTGGGAAAGGGACGGACGTATAAAGCATACTTGCACATTATGGCAAACTCACCTCTGGATCTGTCATGTTCCTCCAATGCATATCTGAACTTTTTCCTTGGGGATTCTTAAGGTAAAAACCTTCTATGATTAGGATGGGCTCCCCCCCCCCATACCCCCCTGATCCCCATTTTATTTATTTCTAAATCTGATTTTTTTTTTTTTCAACCAGCAAATATTTGGAAAATATGTGATATGGCCTTCATACTGAAGAGTCTGGGGGTCCCTGTTTTAGATGAGTACAAAATGAGCAAACTGTTTGGCCAGACAACAGACAAAGCAAATAGAATAAATTTAAGCTGGCCACACACTGAGCAGATCTTGACTGGTTTCTAATAAGCCCTTTTGATACCACTCTGCCTGACATTCTTTACTGTCAAACTAGCAGGAGAAAAGTTCAAGAAAATATAATTTTCCAAAAAAAAATAGAGGCTGTTTAGAGCAGCAGAGGTAGTGAATCAATATTGTAAATTTAAACATGTGTAGCCCTCTTTCGGGGGGGGGGGGGTATGCCAAATGGTCCTCCCCAAACATTAAATTGTGCTAAACCTGTAGGAACAGTGCCTCGAAAAACATGCATACCCCTAGAAATTTTCCACATTTTGTCATATTGTGAAGTGGAAGGAGAATGATAAATAGTTTTCAGAATGTTTGTAGAAATAAATATCTGAAAAGTGAGGTGTGTTCAGTCCCCTGAGTCAATACTTTATAGAACCACCTTTAATTGCAATTATAGCTGCAAGTCCTTTTAGGGATGTCTCTACCAGCTTTGCACATCTAGAGAAATACATTTTTGCTCATTCTTTGCAAAATAGCTGAAGCTCTTTCAGATTGGATGGAAAGCGCCTGAACAGCAATTTTCAAGTCTTGCCACAGATTCTCGATTAGATTTAGGTCTGGACTTTGACTGGGCCATTCTAACACATAAATATGCTTTGATCTAAACCATTCCATTGTAGCTTTGGTTGTATATTTAGGGTCATTGTCCTGCTGGAAGGTAATCTTCCACCCCATTCTCAAGTCTTTTGCAGACTCTAACAGGTTTTTTATTAAGATAGCCCTGTATTTTGCTCCATCCATCTTCCCATCAACTCTAACCAGCTTCCCTGTCCCTGCTGAAGAAAAGCATCCCCACAGTATGATGCTGCCACCACCATGTTTCACGGTGGGGATGGTGTGTTCAGGGTGATGTGCAGTGTTAGTTTTCAGCCACACATAGTGTTTTGCTTTTAGGCCAAAACATTCAATTTTGGTCTCATCTGACTAGAGCACCTTCTTCCACATGTTTCCTGTGTCGCCCAAATGGCTTCTCGCAAACTGTAAACAAGACTTCTCATGGCTTTATTTCAACAATAGCTTTCTTCTTGCCACTCTTCCATAAAGGCCAGATTTGTGGAGTGCATAACTAATAGTTGTCCTGTCGACAGATTCTCCCATCCCACCTGAGGTGTGTATCTCTGCAGCTCTTCCAGAGTTACCATAGGCCTCTTAGCTGCTTCTCTGATTAATGCTCTCCTTGCCCGGCTTGTCAGTTTAGGTGGATGGCCATGTCTTGGTAGGTTTGCAGTTGTGCCATACTCTTTCCATTTTCCAATTATGGATTGAACAGTGTTCTGTGAGATGAGACCCTGCTTTAAACTTCTCCACAACTTTATCCCTGACCTGTGTGGTGTGTTCCTTGGTCTCCATGATGCTGTTTGTTTACTAATGTTCTGTAGCAAATCTCTGAGGGCTGCACAGAACAGCTGTATTTATACTGAGATTAATTGATAGCTCTGAGGAAAGGGATTCATCCCTGAAATGCGTCAGCAGGACGACTGGACACTCTGCCACCTTTGCAACCATCTCTATGGCCTTATAGGCTTTATACATGTGCTATGTTTGTGAGTATATTTTTTTTTAATTTCTAATAAACCTTGGATAATGTGCTAGGTGTTTGTGCCACTTGTATGCCTTCTTCCGGTTTGTTGATCTCCCCATCTGAGGAGGGCTGCATCTCCAGAACATTCATATTCATAGGCTAATCATACACCTGATCCCCTAGCCTTCCCCTGACATTGGCTCCCTCAAGGCGCTGGAGAGTTTACACTTTTGAGATTAAATTGCACACAGGTAGACTCTATTTACTAAATAGGTGACTTCTGAAGGCAATTGGTTCCACTAGATTTTAGTTAGGGGTATCAGAGTAAAGCCGACCGAATACAAAATGCACACCACACTTTTCAGATATTTAACTGTAAAAAATGTTGAAAACCATTTATCATTTTCCTTGCACTTCACAATTATGTGCCACTTTGTGTTGGTCTATCACATAAAATCCCAATAAAAATACATTTACATTTTTGGTTGTAACATGACAAAATGTTGAAAATGTCAAGGTTTTGAATACTTTTTCAAGGCACTGTAAATAAGAGAACCAGAATGTTCACTAAGTGAAAGATTGGGTTTTATATCAAAGTTGGCAGTGCCTCCACCCAAGACAGAGGGGAACCAGTACTCTAAACAGTAATCTAAATAAAGTAAGCGGGAGCAGTACAACTGGGACCAACATATAACATTAACCATAAATACATAGATGCACATTAGTATAGAAATTATAA